CTCAGGGATCACTCCTGGTAGGGTTGAGGGGGACCATAAGGGGTGCCAGAAAAGGAAGCCCAGTTGGCTGCATGCAAGGTAAGAGCCTGCTGTGCTCCACTATCGCCCTTGTCTCATGCTTTTAACTTTTACCTTTTTTAGTGGGGTGGACCCGCACTCAGCAATGCTCAGAGGTTACTCCTGGCTCTATGCTCAGGAATCACTCCTGGCAGTGCTTGGGGGACTATATCGGATGCTGGAGATTGAACCCAGACTGGCCGTGTGCAAGACAAGAACCCTCTCCACTGTACCATTGCTCCAGCCCCTAAATTTTATGTTTATTTGAGGGATTGGTTTGGAGCCACTCAGGAGCTCTTCCTAGCTGTGCTCAGTACTGATCCCTGGTGGTGCTCAGGGACCATAGCTGGTAATGGGAATGGAACCAGGGTTGGTGGCAAGCGAGGTGAGCGCCTTACCACATTTAGCTCTCTGGTTCCCCTGGGACTATCTTACGAATGAGGTTCAGACATGCTCTCACCTTTTAAGAGGGTGGAAGTAATATCACAACTCTTATGCACGAGGGATCGTTGGGAAAATTGGAAATAATGGTTATGGGAAGGTGCAATGGTGCTGGGATTAGTGCTGTAATAATGGATGTAAAAAACATTACAAACAACTTTACAAAAATAAGAATAAAACAATTCTTTCCCCATAGAGGACCCCAGGACATGTGAGAATGAGTTCACATATCCACCAGTACACGGTATTCTCAGGGACTACTCCTGACAGCGCTCAGAATGGCATGAGTGGGCCAGCCAAATTCCATAAAATGTGGCCATTACAAACATCAGTCACAGTCAGAGATAGTACAATGGGGAGGCTACATGCAAGGCTACATGCCTGTCTTGCGTGTAGCAGACCTGGGTTCTGTCCCTGGCATCCCAGATGGTCCTCCAAGTACTACCAGGAATAATTCCTGAGTGCAGAGCCAGGAGTAGCCCCTGAGCATCACCGGGTGTGGTCTCAAAACAAAAACAAACCAACAAAAACTTGCACTCAGTCATAAGAGGTAGAAGACTCACAAGGCTCTTTAGCACAAGTGAACCCCCAAAGCATAAAGTGAAGTGAGAGAAGCCAGATCCAAACATACATCGCCTGATTTCACTGACACGCAGGGTCCTGTGAAGCAGGTCTGCACTGAGCAAAAGCAGATGATTGATGGCCCAGGGAGGGGCAAGATTTGAAGGTGGGACAGGTTACTTATCTCCTACTATTATTATTATCAGATTCCTTGCTCCCAGGGCCCTAGGGATGGGCTCTGGGGTGCTCTGGTCCCATAGCAGGTGACTTCCTTATCATTGGGGACAAGTGCCAGTAATTCCCACATTCAGAAGCCCTGGCAGGGGCCTGCGCCTATTCAGCAGGGAGAGGGCTTGCCTTGCACATGGCCAAGCCGGGTTTGGTCCCGGAGCCCCACCAGGGTGACCCCTGAGCATTTCCACATGTGACTCAAAAACCAAAGAAAAGAAAAGAACTGTTCCTCCTCCAACTCTGTCCCCTGGCACATTTTTTTTTTTTTTGCTTTTTGGGTCACATCTTGGGATGCTCAGGGGTTACTCATGGCTCACGCACTCAGGAATCACTCTTAGTGGTGCTTGGGGGATCACATGGGATGCTGGGATTCGAACCCGGGTCGGTCGCGTGCAAGGCAAACACCCTACCCGCTGTGCTATCACTCCAGCCCTGGCACATATTATTGTCCAGCCTTTGAGGGCAGATTGTCCTTCTGTTTTTTTTAGTCACTGTGACTAGTCTCTCTCTCTCTCTCTCTCTCTCTCTCTCTCTCTCTCTCTCTCTCTCTCTCTCTCTCTCTCCCCACTCCTCTCTTACACACACACACACACACACACACACACACACACACAGGGCTCCAGGGTTCCCATGATATTGTTTAGTGGGGGTGGCTCCGGGGCCACACCTGGAGGTGCTCGGGGATCACTCCTGACATCTCACACCTGACATAGGAACTGGAGATGGGAATTGAACTCAGGGCTTCATCTCTGCAAGACCAGCGCTCTGCCACTTTATCACCGAAACACCCCTAATGTCACAATATTGTTGAGGTTGTTTATTCTCATATGCCCCAGCTGGGGACATCAACACTAGCCCAGCAGGAACAGGAAGCAGTGATGTGCTCAGAAGCTTCAAGATTCCTTGGACCTCTCGCCTCCATCTTCCGTTTCCTGAAGCAGAGAGGTGGGGGTGGGGGGGTGTCCACAGGCCCTGAGGCCCTGCTCAGAGCCAGGACGGGGCAGCTGCACAGCCAGCACCCCACCCAAACGGTGATGGCCGGAGCTGGGGCCTGTCCCTCTCCCTGTTGAAAGGAATACTTCTCAAATGACCCAAATCCAAGGCCCCTTTCCTGAGGCAGGTGTTTCTTTGCTTCCAGAGTGGGGGCCAGAGTGATAGGACAGTGGGGAGCTTCATGCAGCCAACCGGGGCTTGATCTCTGCCATCCCACAGAGTCACAGAGACTGACCCTAAGCACAGAACCATGAGTCTGCCTTGAGCATCGCCGGGTGAGCCCCTGGCCCCCAAAAGAATGAAAATACAAGTCTTACAGAGAGATATAGACAAAGTGCTTTAAGGTAAAAGGAAAAAAGGAAAATGAAAGGAAAAGAAAGAAGGGACACGTGCCACAAATTTTTAAAAAGTACATGCTGCAAAAGCCTTCCCTTCCCCTCTTCCTTCCTTCTTTCTTCCCTCCCCTCCCTCCCTCTTTTTCCCTTCCTCCCTTCCTTCCTTCCTCCCTCCCTCCCTCCCTTCCTTCCTTCCTTCCTTTCTTCCTTTCCATCTTCCTCTCCTCCGCCTCCTCCTCCTCCTCCTCCTCCTCCTTCTTTCTTCATCCACACTTGGCCATGGTGCTTGGGGACTGCTCCCAGCCCAGTGCTCAGGGCACCATACGCAGCTCTGAGGCTGACCCTGAGCTTCCTCTCCAGCCTCTGCGGGAACCCATGGGCCAGTCTGTCTGTCCTTGCCAGGCCCCTTTTCCCTGCTTGGGATGTGAGCTTCACCTCCTTCTGCTCCTGGAGAATGGTGTGTTTCCTCTTGGATGACCTCTTTCTCTTGTTTCACTCACCCTAGCTTCCAAATAAACTTATTTTACTTCAGAAGAGAGAGAGTGAGAATAAGGAGGGAAGAAAGGAAGGAAGGAAGGAAGGAAGGAAGGAAGGAAGGAAGGAAGGAAGGAAGGAAGGAAAAGAGGGAAGGATGCAGGGAGGAAGGAGGAGGGAAGGAGGGAGGGAGACAGTGATTCCTGTGGGGACTTGTCACCCCCCCCTACAGGGTCTGTGACTGGGAGTTTCCCTGTTTCCTGCCCTCCCCAGGGCCCAGGAGGAGCTGAACTTCAGGGGAGGTTCCTGGTGCCTCCTAGGCTTCTTGTCCAATCCAACTGCCCACCACCCGCCTCTGCTCCTCTGTGACCCAGGGTCCAGGCAGCAAGGTCCCGGGCTCTTTGTGCGGACCAGCGGCCTGCAGCTGGGCAGACTCCTGTGGGAGTCCACTCCTGGGGCCAGTCTTTGGGGAGGGGAGCCAATGGGGGTGATTCAGGCCTCACACCCCTCACCTGCCCCCCATTCTCTAACACCCACAGGTCAGTTCTAGAACCCACCCCCCACTGAGTTCCCGCTTAGCCCCTGGACCCCAAGCCCAGCTCCCCCGCCCCCCGCTGATTTTTACTCCCCCCCATCTTGTCCTGGGGGCTGGGGGTACGGGCTTGATGCACCCTCCTCTTTCCTACCTGGCCTGAGCCTGGGATTGGGGGGCAGCCACAGCACAGAGCCGTTTGCTCTTCGCCGGGAACCCCAGACTGTTGCACATTTACATCCCGCCAGCCTGGGGCACCTCTGCCTGTACCACGCGGGTGTGTGTGTGTGGGGGGGGGGGCGTTGTGTGTGTGCGGGCGTGGGACCCTGGGAGGCGGCACCTCCTCGGGCTCCGGGGGTCCTTTAGAAAGCCCCCCCTCATTTCCGGCCAAGGCTCGAAGCCCTGGCTAGGCGCCTGGATCTGTTACTATGGCGACAGGAAGAGGCGCTGGCGGGCAAGGCTGCCGGAGACGAGGCTAGTGGGGGTGGGGGGCAGCGTGGAGATGGGGATGGGGGCAGGGACGGGTCCGAGGTGCGGGCAGGGGGCAAGCGGGGGCGCTCCTTCCCCGACCCCCACCCCCGGCCCCGTCGGCCCCTGCTCCTGTCCCCCAGCGTTAGCGGCTACTCCTGCGTCCCCCACCCTCGCTGTTCCAGGGGTCTCTGCTGCACCGGCCGCTGCCCACTGCCCCCCAGCCCCCCTCTCCTTCCCCCGCTCTGGGAGCCCTCTCCCGGCCCCCAGCACCCCTGCTCTCCCCAATTCCTCTCCCCTCCCCCTCCCTCCGTCTGTCTGTCTCCCCCATCTGCCTCCCTCCCCCTCTCTCTGGATGAGTCTCCCCATTCTCGTCTCTCCAGTCCTTCTGTCACCCAGATCCTGACCCCCCCCTCGCTCCCGGCCCCTCCCTCGGGCCCCCATCTCTCCCCTACTTCCTCCTTGGCTCTTCTCTTTGGGGCTCTCTCTGTCTCTCTCTCTCTCCCCAACTTCCTTCAGCTCCCAGCCACTGCCTCCCCCTCCCCCCGCAGCCCTGCGCCCGGCTCGCGGCTCCCTGCTTCTCCCGGCTCCCTCCTCCCTCCTGGCTCCTCTTCTTTCCCCAGCTCCCTTCTGCCACCCAGCCCCTGCCCCCCTCCTTCCCTTCCCCCCACCCTCGTCTCCGTAGCTCCCCCATTCCCGGAGGCTCCCCTCCCCCTCTCCCTCCCTCGGCCTCCCGTTCCGCACTTTCCCCAGCGACACGAGAATCAAATTGTCTCCTCACCTTTCCCCCCATCCTGACCCTCGCTCCCTGGGGGCTGAGCTAAGGGCTGCCCAGCCTCCCCTCCTGCCTGGCACCCCGTTCCCACATACGCCTCTCCAGCCCCCAGTTGGTCTGCCGGGTCCCCGCAGGCACTGGGGCCCCGAGCTTTTCTGGGCGGGGGGCGCCGGGGGCCTTCCTGGGCGTCCTGTTCTCCGGAGCGCTGACCAGCCGCTGAGCCAGGTGAGGAAGGTTTTGTATTTACCTATGGTGGGTGGACGCGGGGCTGTGACCCCTGACACTGGGGGGATGGAACTGCCCCCCCTCAGAGAGGACAGGTGGTCCCTCTTACAGCCTGGAGCTTTGGAAGTGGGGGGTCCCCGATCCCGCTTCCCTCATGCCCGCTGACAGAGGGACCAGAGGAAGGGACCCGAAGACGAGATTGCCCCCCAAATCCATAGACCAGGAAGCTCTCCCGATTGTGATCATTGGAGACTCCCCCTCAGTCTTTCCTTCGTGTACCCGTTCTCATCTGGGGTGTTGGGTGGGGGGCCCAGTCCGGGGAGAGCATTTGGGGGTGGTCATGGACTGGGGTCAGGAATTTGTGGAGACCGTGGTGCTGGCTGTGGGGGCCCCAGCTGAGGCCTAGGAGGGGGGAGCTGGGGGGGTGGGCCTGGGGGGGACTGAGGGGCGTGGGGGAGGGGCGGTGCTGGTGGGGGTGTCTGTGGGGGGGTGCGTGCGCTGATGAATGGAGAGCCTGGTCCTCTGCGTGTGGGCAGGCAGGAGTGCGGGTGGGGGAGGGAACCCCATGTGGGGGCACAAGGCTGTGTTGCCATGGAGATACCCCCTTAGACAAGCCCTTCCCGGGGTGCTGACCCAGCAGGATGGGGGACGCGGACAGGCCAAGGTCACCCTGTTCGGGTGGACAGAGCTTCTGCTCTTCTCTGCCCAGCTCACAGGTTCCCAGCTGGAGGGGCTCAGGGGGGGCTAAGCTGGGCAGGAGCCATGGCGGGGAGGGGTGGGGGCGTGGTGGGGAGAGGGGGCAAGCAGGCATGCTCAGAGCCTGAGACCCAGATCCCTGCGGTGGAGGAGGAGGGCTGCTCAGGGGCAGGTGAGGCATGGGCAGGGGCATCCCTAGCAGGGAGAGGGGAGGGATTCTGGGCAGAGGGGGTCTTGGAGATGCTGGAAGAAGTGTTCATAGAGGTGGGGGGTCCCAGGAGGGGAGAGAGAATGTGGCTCCCAGAGAACCGGGGAGAGCCTGCTCTGTGATGTTGGGGGCTTCTGTGAAGGGGGGGCAGCAGGCAGGATGGGGGTCAGAGGCTGAGAGGGAGGCACGTGCTGAGCTGCGGGGGCTGCGGAGTCAGGAAGACCCAGGGCTCAGTCTGTGAAGAGGGAGAAAGTTGCAGTCGCGAGTCTAAGTTGTGGACGGTGGATCATCGGGCAGGAGGGCCTGCAGGGGCGAGGCTGGCAGGGCATCCCTGTGCTTGTCCCTGTGCTCCAAGACTGGGCAGGGATGGGGCAGGTGGCCCTCAGGGGACAGTGAGGGAGTGGGGCATCTTCTAACCCAGCTGGTCAGGCATCACGGGCCATTAGGAGGGAAGTCCCAACCTCAGTCGCTCACGGGGCTTGGAAGGCCCAGGGGTGAGTTCAAAGTGTAGAATCTAGGTCCCCGGGTCCAGCGCTGTGGAGAGGGGTTTCCCACAGGGAGGCTGCTGTAGAGGTGTCCGTGTGTGGAAGGTGGGTGCTTGCTCTAGGTACTGCAAACCGCAAGGGTTCCCTGGGAAAACGGGTTCAAGCATTATGCTTTGAGTTAGATCTTTTTCCTAAACAGAGGACATAACGGAAGAAGCACAGAGAAAAGTGCAGGAGGAAAGTGTGTGCGTGTGTATGTGTGCATGTGTGTGCGTACATGAATGTGCACATGTGTGCATTGTGAGTGTGTGCATGTGTGTGTCTGAGTGTGTGCATGCGTGTGTGTGACTGGTGTGAGCATGTGTGTGACTGTGTGCATGTATGAGCATTTGTGTGACTACATGTGTGCATGTGTAAGTGTGTGTGTGACTGTGCATATGTGTGTGAGTGTGTGAGTGTATGCATGTGTGAGCATGTGTGTGACTGAGTGTATGCATGTGTGTGAGACTTTGTGCACGCCAGTGTGTCATTGAGTGATGGTGTGTGTGTGTGTGTTGTGTGTGTGTGTGTCTTCTATATTGCTCCTGAGTTGGAGATTTTGAGGGCAAAAAATTAGAGGGGGGTGTTGGGTCATACCCAGCAGTGCTCAGGATCGCTCCCGGTGGTCCTGGGGGGAACCATAGGGGTTACCCAAGGTCCCATCCAGGCCGGCCATGTGCAAGGCAGGCGCCCTCCAGGGGCCTCAGTGGGGACAAAGCTGGGGAGAGAGCAGGTGAGGATGTGGGTCCTGTGTGAGAGAAGGTGACAAGTCCTGGGGGCCGTGGAGCAGGTCGGGTTCCCTTAGGTGGCCAGTGTTGGCGCTGAAGGCTCAGGGCTGGGATGGGGGGTCAGTGCCAGGGAGAAAATCGCCCTCGGTGACGTGGGGCCAGGAAGCAGAGTTGGTGTTGGGGGACCCCCAGCTTCCCCTCTGACCCCGTCTCCTGCTGTCCCCCAGCCTTCGAGCATGGCCGCCCTCTGACCGCCGCGGCCCCCTGCCGCCGCCGCCCGCTGCCCCCCTCGCCCCTGCCCACTTGGGCCCCCCTGTTCCGCCTGCGCTGTGCCCCCCCCAGCCGCCGGCACGGCCCCGCCCCCGCTGCCCCGGTGGTGGCCCGCGGCCCCCCGGCTGCCCGAGTTCAAGCTGGAGTCGCTGAAGCGCTGGAACGAGGAGCAGCGGGGCCTGTGGTGCGAGAAGGGTGTGCAGGGGCTGCTGACCACCGTGGGCGCCTTCGCGGCCTTCGGCCTCATGACCATCGCCATCAGCACTGACTACTGGCTCTACACGCGCGCCTTCATCTGCAACACCACCAACGTCACGGACGAGCCGGCGCGCGGCCCGGGTGCCTCCGACAAGAAGGACCCCGGGGGCCTCACGCACTCGGGGCTCTGGAGGATTTGCTGCCTGGAAGGTGGGTCCCCGGCACCACTGCTTCCGCGACAGTCCCCCCACCCAACCTCCCGCATGTTCTACTCCTGCTCCCACCCCACCCGCCCAGCCTATGACCGAAGATGCTCTGGGCTGACTCCTGGCTCTGTGCTCAGGGATCACTCCTGGGGCTCAGGGAACCTTATGGGGTGCCGGCGATCGAACCCTGGTCAGCCACATGCAAGACAAGCAAGCACACTACCCACTGTACTACCTCTCTGACCCCACCCCCACACCTTATTTTCTGTCCCCCAATTCCCAGCCTTGTCACTCCAGTCCTGGTCCTCCACCCTCCATCTTCTTCCTGTTGCCCGTTACCAAGGTCCCAGACCTCCTCTGAACCTCCCCCACACCCACCTCAGAACTCAGGAGCTCCTCCTCCATCCGCCCCGCCCCCCTGTGTCCCACCCACCCCCCTCTGCCCAGACCCTGCTCTGCTGTGCTCCCGGGCCCTTTGCGTCTTCCTGCCTTCTGGACCCTGATGCCTCCTCCCGCCCCCTCTCCTTCTGGCAGCCTGGACACGGCTGCCCCTGAGCATGGTCCAGCCCACGAGCCTTTCTCTGCTGTCCTCTTTGATCCCATCCACCAGCAAAACACCAACCCCCTCAGCTTCTCTCTTCCACCTCCCTCTTTCTCCTCTTTCCCTCTTCCTCTGGGTCACGAGAACAAAGTCCCAGGCAGTGGGTGCTTCCTTTTGTGTGTTGGGGGGGTGGGGGAGGAAATGGCTCCAAGAGGTCAGGACACCTGCCCAAGGTGGCCCAGCTGTGACCAGGACAAATCCAGAGAATTCTGGGCCAGTGCTGGGGCTCATGTCACTCTTGGTCAGGGTCACGCTGCGCGTGTGCAGCGTTGAAACCAGACTGACAGAGGGGAGTGCTCTCAGCACACCCCCAAGGCTTCCTCAGAACGCTCTCTGCTCATTCTCACTTAGACCCTGTCACCCAGCTTCCTGTCCCTCACACCCCACTCACTGTCCTCCTGCCTCCTGTTACTCTGTGCCTGCCCTGGGCCATTGCAATTCCTGTCTGCTCACTGCCCAAACTAACCCCTGCCCATCATAGTCCACGGACAGCATGCAGCCCTTAGTGAAGGGGACACAGTTTGAGAGAAGCATCAATGGCTGGTGTCATTGTCCAGGGTCCTAGGGTGTGATCACATGAGTATAAGTGGTGTGGTCTGCTGCGAACCTCGGCTGCATAGAAGAGCTTGTGTCACAGATGGAGATTCCCTCCATTGAAAAGGCACTAAATACTGACTGATAAAAATGCCACACACCTGTCCGTCCACTCACCCGTCTGTCTATCCGCCCATCCATGCACCCGCCTCTCCCATTCATCTGTCCACCACCCTGTCCATTCATCTGTCCACCCACCTGTCCACTCATCCACCCATCCATCCACCCCCATCATCCATCCGTTCATCCACCCATCCATCCATCCGTCCATCCACCCACCTATCCATCCATCATCCATCCATGCACCCAACCATTCATCTATCCACCAGCTCATCTAACCTCCCTCCATCCATCCATCCTTCCACCTGCCCAGACGCCCAGCCGCCCAGCCATCATCCATCCATTCATCCATCTCTCCATCCATCCCTCCATCCTCTCATTTAACAATTAACATTTATTGAGTTTATTCCATGCACTGTTCATGATTCTGGGGCTTCAGCAGTGGGTGGGGGAAAATCCAAAAGATCCCTTAGTTTTTTTTATGCTTTATTCGGCAGTGCTTGGGGTTCATTGTGTTCCCTCTCCCAGAAATGCTGGGGGAGCCCTGTGGCATTAGGGAGCAAATTCAGACTTTTACATTCTAGCATGCAGAACATTTGCTCTGTGTGTTGGCTGTCTGCAGCTGGAGAGCCGTTGGTTGTCTGTCTTCGACCGTGGGGGTTGAGACCTGACCAGCAGTAGAAGCAAATAGAGCATTTAGGGTTTTAGCTGGCGGAGCTGAGGACTGCCAGGAGCAAGGCAGGTTCTGTGGTGTGTGAGCGTGACATGGAAGGTGAGGGGATCTGTAAACAGGTGAGCTTGGAGCGAGCTTGGAGTCCCAGCCCTGGGGTTTGGACTTGGGGGTTCTGGAGATCAAGCAAGGCATTTGCTTACTCACTTCTCCCACAGTGCTCCATGTTGCAGGGTGGGTAAATTTTGGCACAAAAGGAAAAGGGGATAGGGCTTCTCTGGTGGTGGCAAGTGGTTTGAATTTAGAGACAATTGTTCATTTAGTAGTTATTGTATTAGTTTTTATTTTAGACCATAGCTGATGGTGCCCAGGAGGTTACTCTGGGCTCTGCACTCAGAGATCACTCCTGACGGTGCTGGGGGTTGAACCAGGCTGCATGCAAGGCCAAGCGCCTTAACCCTAGTCCCAGCTCTCTGCGGTGAGTGGGACCTGCACACTCAGCTGGTGGGCAGTGTGGGTAGAGAGAGAAGTGTGGGGCTGGGTTGTCATTGTGGTCAGCGCCTGCATTTGGGGCTATCTGGTGCTCTATGGGGTGGGCGTTGCCCTGGGCATGGCTGTGCATTGAGCAGCATCCTGCCACCAGCCCCACTTTCAAATGCCCGCAGCCATTGCCCACGCATGACCTCCAACCTGGGGTTTTCTAGAGGCTAGGAATAAAATCACTCGGAGTTGGAAGCCACTGGCCTTGGGGTGTGGCCTGAGTGCTCGACAGAGAACAGAGCCTGGGCGTGGGTGGCACCATCAGATGGAGCGGCAAGGATCTGGGAGTTTCGGGGTGTTGTGCTGGCTGTGCTCAGGGAACCATGTGGTGCAGGGATCAAGCCTGACTCCAGCCCGCAGAGCCCCTCCCTGCCTGCAGCATCTCACTGCATTTCTCTGATTTCCCCCTCCGTATTTATTTGGTCTGGGGACACACCCTGGGATGCTTAGAACTTACTCCTGGCTCCGAGCTAAGGGATCAGTCCTGGTGGTTCCTGGGGGACCATGGAGGATGCCTGGGGTCGAACCTGCTCTTACACCTGCAAGGCAAGTGACAGGCCAGCGTGCTCAGGGAGCTATGCAGGGCTGTGGGGCCCCCTGTTAAAGCGATAGGAGCATACTGAATGTTCAGCACCTTGCCAGAGGGAGCCTGACTGCTAGATTTCGTGGTTGACATTGACATTTGAACCTTGAGCTAGAGGGGGAACAAGAGGCAGCAGCTCTGATCCCAGATGAAGATCCAGGGATCGGGGTTAAGTGGTCTCCTTATCTCTGGGCACCACATCCAGGAGTGCTTAGTTGAGTTTGTGATCAGAGCAGACCGAGGACAGGAAACACCCCGCTGGAGACTCCTGCCTGTCAGGGCTTCCTCCTCCCTCCCTCCCTTCCTCTCTTTATTTCTTCCTCCCTCCCTCCCTCCCTCCCTCCCTCCCTTCCTCCAACTCTCTCTTTCTTTTCTTCTCTTATTTTTTCTTTTTCATTTTTATTTTTCTTTCTCTATTTTTCTTTCTTCTGTTTCTTTTTCTTTTTCTTTTCTTTCTCTCTGTATCTCTCCTTTTCCTTCCTTCCTTCCTTCCTTCCTTCCTTCCTTCCTTCCTTCCTCCTTTGTCCCTTCCCCTGGGACTGAACCGGGGCTCACCTGGCATTGCTCTTCTCCTGAGTTCTATTGAACTCTCTCCCTGGTGCCCATCTGGTGTTTTTCCAATTGGTGAGAAAGAAAGGCCAATCCTTCTTTGCTGGGCAGAGCAGGCTTTGGTGTAGTTCCAGGAGTTGTAGTGGCAGACCCCTGAACAGGCTGTTGGAGACAGGGTGCAGGGGGCCACAGGTCAGGGGAGTGTGGGAGCTCAGGTAGAAACTGGGGGTTGGGGTGTCAGCCACTGAGAGGTAAATGAAATACCTAGAAAAGGGAAAGAGTCAGAAATGAATGAAAAAAAAAACAGATTAAAGGCTAAAACCTATTCAGAGATCTCAGGCTGACGAGCAGGGGCCGGGAAAAGGATAGACAGAGAGTTTGGGGGTCTGTAGTGAGGGGGATGCGGGCAGAGGAAAAAAGGAAGAAAGAGGAGGGAAGGAAGGAGGGAGAGGGAAGGAGGTATGGAAGGAAAGAGAGAAAGAAAAAGGAGGGAAAGGAGAGAAGGAAGGAGAGATGAAAGGAGGGAAAGAGGGAGGGAGGGAAGGAAAGACGGAAGGAAGGAGGGAGGGAAGGGGGGAGGAATAAAGGAAGGAAGGAGGGAGAGAGGGAAGCAGGGAAGGAATGAGGAGTTGTTGGCTGTCCTGGCTGCACCGTCGTGTCACCCACCCACATGGCCCACCCCCGCAGGAGGCACTCTGTCCCCACCTCCAGAAGTGGAAGCTGGCTCAGAGAAGTGTTTCCAGGTCACATAGTGGACACACAGCCAGTGTGGACTGGCCTCCAGGTCTGGCTGATTTCCAAGAGGAGCCCAGAGGCCCTCCCTTACCCCTCTGCCACACAAGGTTTCGGGAATGTTGGTGCCGGGCCCTGCGACAGGCAGAGTCTGGGGCAATACCCACTGGGTTTCCTGACCCAGGTAACCTAGGTCTGCTCACACCTTTGGGGCACTTTTTTCTTTCTATTTTTTGGGGGGGTGGAGGGACACACCTGGTGGTGCTCAGGGATTACTCCTGGCTTTGTGCTCAGGGATCACGACTGTTGGTGCTTGAGGAACCCTTATGGGGTGCCAGGGGTTGAACCCCAGTCAGCCGCATGTAATGCAAGCACCCTCCCTGATGGCTTACTGCTCCAGCCACCTTCTGGGCCATTTCCCAACATCTGCAAAGTAGGGACTGGAACCGCCTCTTAGAATGCTGCGGCATGAATATGAGTTTGTACATGGAGAGCATTCTAGAGACCGGCACGCAACAAACTGAGGGTAGTGACGTAGTTCTCATGATCCTAAGAACTTCAGGTGGCTCTTCACCTGCCCCCTTGCTTCTCTGAGAACCAGAAGTCCCTACCCGAGGGCCACACTTCCCAAGAAAGACTTCACACGCAGGGTTTTAGTTCCTTCTAGCAGCTACA